CTGAACACTCCTGAACCTGCCTTGTGTTCAGAATTTCTAGCTACAGTATACGGCTAATTGGCAATAAGGAAGTGTCTGGATATACACGTAGCATTTTTTTGTTGGTTATGGCTGAGGATTTGGTAAATGTGATCAGTGTAGTTTCAGATTTACCAAATCCTCCATGTAGGTATTGGTAACTGCTAGTTAGTGATATGGCATTTTGTTTGGAATTGAAATATCCAGATTTAAAAAAAAAAAAGTAATCAAGAGCACTAGTTACAATTCCATAGTATGCCAGCAATCAATGGTACTGTGTATCATTGATTGGCTAAAAAAAAATCCCCTCATTTATTTTTGTTGGTTTGCCTTTTACAGGCTTAACTTGCCCCACAGTAAAGTTGTTACTTCCTTGTCACTGCCCCATAGTAAAGTTGTCACTTCCTTTCCTTTCCACTTCTGAAGAAAATGCTGAAACATTTCTTATATGCTCAGATGTACGTAACTCTAAGTTAAGTTTCAATGATAACTGGGTATTTGTATTCTACTATCCCGAAACATGAGCCAGTTTGGTGGCGAGTTCTGATAATATAGGCTTGCCACGTGGACTCCACTAAATATTAGGGTGTCCTTTTTTATATCTAAGACACTTTTTCAAAGTAAGAGAGGTTCTGCCAGAATCCTTTCTTTGATGGAAAAAACATGTTTAAATTATAGTACACTGTAGCCTGTTATGCCATTACATTATGAAAGTAAGTTCTATATGTTCTACACTGTGCAGTGCCAGTTAATAAATGTGTGTTGTAATCATTTTCCACATGGCTGCTTCCTGCGCAACCTCTTATGTAACCATGTTGTGAAGTGGTTAGCTAGAACATGCAGAGTACACAACTTCTTATGAAACCATTTTGTGAAGTGGTTTGCTAGAACATGCAGAGCACACCACTGTGAAAAAAATTCAACTGTCAACTGATAAGGCTAAGTGTTTATTTCATTTTAAAGCACCTTTAACTGGTGCTAACTGAAGCTCTACCAGGACACTTTGGTGTGGCTCATTTCATGCTATCCTCCCATAAAAGCCATCATGCATGTTACTGGTGACGTATATTCACCAGCCATGAACACCTTGCAGGGGTACAGTTGTACTACAGCATGCCCGTTGCTGTGCAGAGTTTATTAGCTATGCAGTGTTTCATCATTGGTTGGTTTTTGGATATTTTGAGAGGTGCAATAAAAATACCAATATTCATATAGCTATAGTCAAGCTTACAATGCACAGTTTAGCCATTTTCTGGCCTCTCCTCAATGGCCGGTTTCTAACAATAGAGCCAGGGTGGAAAAAAACACTCAGCAATACCACTATGTCTGTAACACTTGTACCAACCAAATAATTTCTGGTTGTGCACGGCAACAGATAATAGTACAATTATACTGCTTATATGTACACAACTTATATATCAGGTGTGCCCAGTCCAAGTCCTTGATCGACCACCCTGGAGAGTTCAGATCCAACACAGATTCAGATGCCCCTGATGGCCTTTATTACTTGGATCAGGTGTGTATCTGGAGCTAAGCTCTGCAGGATGGTGGATCTCCAGGACCAGTATTGGGCACCCCTAATAGTGACTGGAGTGCAGACTGTTACATCCTCAAATACTTTCTTAGCCCTCTAACCACTACTTAGCAACCATTGCTACCAGCTGTCAGCTAACATTTTTAGTTTAGCAGCATATCAGTGTTTCTCACAAATAAACACTGATTTAGATGCCCTAGATATACAAAAGATGTGTATGGTGACATGTAGTGAATCTAATAGAGTAGGGAGTGTTGTTTTCTACCCATTTCCAAAGCCTGCTGTCGCTGTGTTGTTGTTGACCATGTGTTTGTAGATAGAACCTTAGAATAAGACTGTATTTGCTTTCAGTTCATCTATGGAATCAAAGGTTTCACCTTCAAATTAGCAACACTCTTATGTAGATCAAACACCTTTCATATCCTAACAAAGTCTTGACCTTGAGCTACTTTTGACCACTGAATGTTAAAATCCTAGGATATTTGTACATTTCTGGAATCGACCGAATGCACATAAGACCTTTTTACTTCTGAGAACTCCCTTTGAGTTTAGAATTATGTAGGCGAATAAACCCATCATAGTATAGAATAGTATAGATTCACACCGTTATCATTAATACTCATGTAATATGTAGGTAAATATAAGGCCGCTGTTTCAGTGTATTACAATGTAATACAGAGTTTTACATTCATTTACATTCATTTTATTTTGCTTCGTGAGCCGCATCACTATCATAAGCATGTTGATTACAATTGATTAAAATCTCCAGAATTATAAAGAAATATCAAAAAATAATCCCAAAACCAGGTTAATTTCATAGTTTAAATCTGTTGTAATATATCAGTATGAGAATTTGTTACTATGGGGAAATTTATGTATAGGCCACACATATTGTGCTACATAGAGGCTCCAGCATGTTAATACCTTAATATGTATTTTAGTACATAACTGCATGAAAACTGATATTTCTGTGAATTTATGGGAATTTAATTACACACTTCCTGTGAAATTTGAAGTTTCTGGGAATTTACAGGAATTTCGTAATATTGCCTGTGCCACTCGGAACACTCCTGAACCTGCCTTGCGTTCAAAATTTCTAGCTACAGTATACGGCTAATTGGCAATAAGGAAGTGTCTGGATATACACGTAGCATTTTGTTTTTTGGTTATGGCTGAGGATTTGGTAAATGTGATCAGTGTAGTTTCACATTTACCAAATCCTCCCTGTAGGTATTGGTAACTGCTAGTTAGTGATATGGCATTTTGTTTGGAATTGAAATATCCAGATTTTAAAAAAAAAGTAATCAATGTATGCCAGCATATACACAGTAACAAAGTACTACTGTGTATCATTGATTGGCTAAAAAAAAAACCCTCATTTAATTTGTTGGTTTGCCTTTTACAGGCTTAACTTGCCCCATAGTAAAGTTGTCACTTCCTTTTAGCTGAAGAAAATATGGAAACATTTCTTATATGCTCAGATGTACGTAACTCTAAGTTAAGTTTCAATGATAACTGGGTATTTTTATTCTACTATCCCGAAACATGAGCCAGTTTGGTGGCGAGTTCTGATAATATAGGCTTGCCACGTGGACTCCACTAAATATTAGGGTGTCCTTTTTTATATCTAAGACACTTTTTCAAAGTAAGAGAGGTTCTGCCAGAATCCTTTCTTTGATGGAAAAAACATGTTTAAATTATAGTACACTGTAGCCTGTTATGCCATTACATTATGAAAGTAAGTTCTATATGTTCTACACTGTGCAGTGCCAGTTAATAAATGTGTGTTGTAATCATTTTCCACATGGCTGCTTCCTGCGCAACCTCTTATGTAACCATGTTGTGAAGTGGTTAGCTAGAACATGCAGAGTACACAACTTCTTATGAAACCATTTTGTGAAGTGGTTTGCTAGAACATGCAGAGCACACCACTGTGAAAAAAATTCAACTGTCAACTGATAAGGCTAAGTGTTTATTTCATTTTAAAGCACCTTTAACTGGTGCTAACTGAAGCTCTACCAGGACACTTTGGTGTGGCTCATTTGATGCTATCCTCCCATAAAAGCCATCATGCATGTTACTAGTGACGTATATTCACCAGCCATGAACACCTTGCAGGGGTACAGTTGTACTACAGCATGCCCGTTGCTGTGCAGAGTTTATTAGCTATGCAGTGTTTCATCATTGGTTGGTTTTTGGATATTTTGAGAGGTGCAATAAAAATACCAATATTCATATAGCTATAGTCAAGCTTACAATGCACAGTTTAGCCATTCTCTGGCCTCTCCTCAATGGCCGGTTTCTAACAATAGAGCCAGGGTGGAAAAAAACACTCAGCAATACCACTATGTCTGTAACACTTGGACCAACCAAATAATTTCTGGTTGTGCACGGCAACAGATAATAGTACAATTATACTGCTTATATGTACACAACTTATATATCAGGTGTGCCCAGTCCAAGTCCTTGATCAACCACCCTGGAGAGTTCAGATCCAACACACCTGGTCTAATATTCAGATGCCCCTGATGGCCTTTATTACTTGGATCAGGTGTGTATCTGGAGCTAAGCTCTGCAGGATGGTGGATCTCCAGGACCAGTATTGGGCACCCCTAATAGTGACAGGAGTGCACGACTGTTACATCCTCAAAAAATTGAACGCTATCTTTCAAACTAGCTGGTAGCTTCTTGGAATTTTTCCTCACGTCTTCTTCTGTTAATGTTCCAGGAAAAGGCTTCATAATAGCTTGTTGTGATGCCACCTATTATATAGATGTGGGTTTACAAATATTGACTGTCCTCTCAGTTGCCACATAGTTTATCAGCCACCATGTCCTCCACAGGCCCACCACTGACTAGATATTATTTGGGTGGTGGACCATTCTCAGCACAGCAGTGACACTGACATAGGGCAACAGCAGTCTTGCTAGGGTTTTTACACATGTCAGTGCTCTCAACTGCTAGGTTGAGAGTGGTCCACCACTCCTAATACACTCATTGCAACACCAACATAACATCATTGTTGGAGTGTCAGTGTTGTGCTGAGAATATTTGGTGGGCGAAGGTCCTATGGTGGTCCATTTTCAAGTATGGTTGAAGTAGAGGGTGACTAGTAATTAATGGTAATTAATAGTAATATTAGTAATAAAGATAGCAGAAAGTGAATTGTTTATATAGTTACATTTGAGATTCATTGGGTTTCAGAAATAACAGCTTTATTGGCTTTCTCTTAGATTAAAACAAATGGTTTCTTTGGATGAAGGAGGATTTCGTGGAGTTCCCTGCACACGAACTCATCAAAGATAATATAAAAAAACCACCCCCTCAAAAGAGGACAATGGATAGCCCGTCCCACAAAGTTGTTCTGTTATCAACCTTGGTACTATCACTGGTATTAGATAACAAGTTTCCAATACCAGTGATAGTAGGCCTGTTGAGTCACTTCACAACTTGTGGAGCAGAATAACATTGTCCACTGTAAAGTTTTCAAGATCCCTCATCCATCATGAAGCAAAGATTATTCAGCAAAAACTGAAGGTTTTAAATGCAGCATTACTGCAATAACTAAAGAATGAATTGAATGAATTAAATGGCTTTTGGGGTAAAACACAGTTAATGAACAGTAGCTGAAACTTTGTGTTCCTCTGACGTGGTAAAAGCTGTCCCTTGGACTGTGTCATGGCCCTCTTCCTCCTGAAATGCATTTTCAATTTTTGACAAAAGTGCATAACACTGCTTCTTAAAGTCCTTCCCCATGAACGCATACAGAATCGGGTTCAAAGTGCTGTTGGCACTGGCGAGAATAATGCCATATAGCTTTCCAGAGTTAACAAAACGATTGGAATACTTCATTTCCAAAAAAGAAAAAATGTGAAAAGGCAGCCAGCAGATCAGAAATGTGGCAATCAGCGCCATCATGATTTTGAATGGCTTTTTGGATCTCACCATCTGGTTGGACTTCAGCTTTTGAATGATGACAACACAACAGGCGCTAATGATCAAGAACGGGATCAGACATCCAAAAACAAACCGGCTTGCCACTACAGCAATTTGGTTTTGATATGTTATGTAATTCCTGTGACATATTCTCTTCACGTGGTTACCAGCGAACTTCTCTTTTTGATTATGAAAAATGGCCATTGGCACGCTAAGTGCTGCTGACATGATCCAAGCTAGAATGACAATCACTGAGGCCTTTCTCACGGTGCGCTTGTTTCGAGCCCACACCGGAAACATGACGACCACACAGCGGTCCACACTGGTGATGACGAGGAGGAAGACACTGCTGTACATGTTGATGAACATGATGAAATACCTGAACTTGCACATGAAGTGCCCAAAGACCCACTCCTTTTTGACTGCATAGACGATACCAAAGGGCAAGGTGCAGCAAAACAGGAAATCAGACATGGCCAGGCTCAGGTACCAGGTGCTGATGACTGACTTCTTCATCTTAAACCCTGCAATCCAGATCACGAAACCGTTTCCAGCAACACCCAGGACTAAGATGATCACATTTGCTATGGCAAAGAAAATACATGTTGCATCTCTGCAAGATGTTGGAGGCAAACTCGGGATTATGGTGTGATTCATAGTTTCTGTTACTGGAGTTGAGCTCATGATGCCTCTTGATTCTGCAAAGTGAACAGAAACAGAAAGATTGTTGTTTTATTATTCATTAACACAACATGTTAATGAAGGGTGAGATATACAGATTTGATATTGGTATATTTCTTCACGTCCGAAAGTATATATGAAATACACGCCAATATATGCAATGTTGCATATATATATATATATATATATATATATATATATATACATATATATTTTTGTGTGTGTGTGTGTGTGTGTGTGTGTTTTAGCATTAAAATGCTGAATATAAAAAAATCTAAAAAAACATATATTTGTTCGCATCCAAAATATATGGCAATGTATTTTAATGTGTGTAACAGCTTAGCACCAAAATTCCAAATACAAATATATAGCGCATATTTTCTCATATTTCAAAGTATATGTGCCATACTGTATATGTATTAAAAAGTAATTAGGGTCTCAGAAGAGGCATACCCCTGTTTGTGGCTGATTTTATTTCAATCCAGCACCCAAAGTTTAGCAAGCTGTCCCCAGCCATATATTCTTATTACAAGATCACATCTGGACCTGCAGGACTGCTAGAAAGTATGAGCTGACAAAGAAAAAAAAAACCTGCTAATATGGTATTGGTTATATTGCCATGGCTTCCTTGTTTTCAGATGCCATGCATTTCACAAGCCTGGCTTGTTAATTACTTGTTTAACAGACTGAAGTTTCTTCATAAAGCAAGGGTATTAGAAACCCACACCAGGATCTCACAAGGCCTAATGCACATTTGTCTGCAGTTTAAAAAAAAAACAAAACGATGCATTACAATTTATAGATGTCTGTATTTGAGGCCCTGCGATGGACTGGCGACCAGGGTGTATCCTGCCTTCCGCCCAATGACAGCTGGGATAGGCTCCAGCACCCCACCGCGACCCAGAAGGATAAGCGGTTTAGATGATGGATGGATGGATGGATGGATGTATTTGAGATGGAGTTGACATGAGTAATGATAAACCACGTATAGGAAAGCAAACATATACCACATATACCACTGCTAGTTCGGTGCATATTTTCTAAGTGCATAAAGACAGTGACAGAAATAGGCTTTATTATGACTCTGGCAGAAAGGTAAGCAAAGGCTGCGTACAAAGTAAAGATTTAGGTTGTGGAGAAAAATAGCAGGTACGCTATACAAAAGTGATGTGACAAAAACACTGTGTGCTCTTGTTTATTCACAATTAAATGACATTTTCTTGTTAGAATATTAGCAAAAATGTATAAATTGCCCACTCTTTCTAGTATTCATCATTACAGCCTGTTTTTTGTTTTGCTTTTACTCTACACTCTATCAGTCTATGGTTTCAGTTGCAGTTGGTTCATCACATTACATCCAGTGCAGGACACTAATGAATGTAATGCAATAATCCGACATGATTAGAAGGCCTGCCCTTTTACAGCAAGCTATTGTTGAGGCAGCTAATGCCAAACATTGCAGAGAATTTCTCTTGAATTTTCTCCAGAGATAGACAGAGCTTCTATCTCAGAAGGTTGCCAATGTTTCAGCAGATCATCACTCTTTAGAATGTCTATTTAGGAACATTTGACTGGATATCTTTGGTCCTTGGACCATTTTATCCCATCGGACTACAGAAAAATACTTAAAATTCTCCTAAAGGCAGTTATAGTTTCCCACTTATCTTGGAGATACACCATCAGATGGGGGCTTTCCTAGTCTTTAAACTCCAGAGACTGCTGAGGCACCACAGTAGGACACAAGTTAGCATGTTCACAAATTTAGTAATGGTAAAATTTCTCATTTTGTCCAGAGTGCTCATTTGAGAGGATGGAATAGCCCTTAGAACATGGTACTTGGCAAAGTGGAGGTGCAAGGTGGAGATTCAGATCTTCAAAAAAGATGGGCCTGAATTGTCTCAGAAACAGTCTTTATTCTCTACTTTGTGATGTGCAGACAGTAATTTTGTAAATAATGTTGATAATGCTGTTCAATCATTCCAAATGGGGAATATTTGAACAAGTTTTTCCATGTTTTGGCCCCATCTTGTGGTAGAAATTCAGTCTACTGTAATTTGTTTCCTGTACATTGTGTCAATGTGGACTTTTAATACATTTCACTGCATTAATATAAGCAATGTTAGACAAACATTATGTTAGCCTGGCACAAAATTATCACGTTATGTTATCCTACTATTTATTATTAAAACTAAACAGGTGTACTTTACAAGATGCTCACTGGAGAATGGTGATTTGCATTCTGACTTTTAACTGAGTCAGATAAATTGGTTTAGCGAACAAATATGAGCCAGCACTTCTTTCAGTAGCACTGTTCCCAACTAAGCAAGTTAGTCATTTATTTACAAAAAACACATTACGGCATCATGTTTGATATTAAAAGGACGAATTTTGAGAGGGCTTACAAAATAGGCAGATGGGAAAAATGCAGGCATCAAAATCAGAAGAACTAAGGAGGCACACATGGAACCATGGCTAAGAATTACACAAAAACCCACCAAGATCAAAATTAAAGACAACCTAAAACAATAAGCAACAGGTGTTGGGAATAATGAGGTGGTGGGGCCAGACAGCTACAGCATCATAAGAGCTACCCCTTTGTTTTGTCTTCATTTAAAAACAAAACAAAACCAACAAAGAATAAACAAAACCAGCTGTTTAACACCCAACATTTTGCTAAAAGAGACCACTCAAAGCAGCTGACAACAAATCACTAGTGGAGACATACATTTGTGAACTGACAATATGAATGTAAGCAAATTTAAGTTTAAAGAAACATAAATAAATCATTCTTGGAAACACATTTACATTCATCAAATCTGTTATTTTTCAGTAACTGGAAGCAGGAGTAAGGAGGAGGAACAAGGAACTAAGAAAGCTGCCCCTTCAGATGAGCTAACACTAAAGCTAACAGTCATTTATAGACAGACTCATAGTGTCAACCCATACGATTTGATGTTGCAATTTTGGAGGCATACAACTGTATAAAGCTGTATAAGGCATATAAGTTTTACTTCTTGAACACTATGAAGTTTGGTCAGTAGGGGTGCACTGCTAGACCTCAAACACTCTACTCAAACATCTGCATGAATTAGGGTATGCTTTATTAAATCATATGTAAATTAGGTGCTGGTAGACTGGCACTTGTATTCAAACTGAAACCGATTCATCATTTGTGTTCAAATCTCAGCTTGTTTCCACGTTGTGCACAGTTTCATAACTCCCACACTGAGTAGTTAAGACATCATTAAAGGTGGTCAAATCTGAACTCATTTTAATGCAAGTTTGATGACTAAGAGCCAATATCTTCTCCTTTGCTTTCTTTGACACATTCAGCCGGAACACATTTTATATCAATTCTACCTTTCTGCTCAGTAGAGAAGCTAGAGCTGAAAAAAAAACAAAACAGCAACAGAGGACGGATCTCTACCTTCAAAACATCTTATCTTTCTCAGCATCTCTGCATTTCTGACTTCCTTTGCTATATCTTCCCTTTTATCTTACAATCATCTCACTTTTTTCTCTCTGTTTTTCACTTACCTCTTAGTTCAGTGGGAAAAACCTCTATATTCATGTAAACAAGAGATGTTGTTTGCAAACAAGTCAGCACCTTGAAAGCCACTTCACACTGAAGAGGCATTTTGTTTTTAGTAAATGCCCTTAAAGTAAAGCTAAAAGTCTGCATTTTGAGCTCATATTCATTTTTAAACTTTAAATCCAATATGCTGTGGTAGACAACTAAAATAACAACAATTCTATTAATATCAATATATTTATGGATCTGACTGTGTTAAGCTAAAATGGGAGGAGTGTCTTTGAGGTTTTTTAGGTTTTATGCAGTCATCTCTTGAGTACTCTAGAAAGTAGACTATGAGCAATATTACTGATGTAACTGATTTGATGTTGCAGCCCTGGTGAAAAGCTCTGTTGAGGAGTTATGATGTTGTCCATAAGTTATGGAGCATATTCCAAAAAGAGACGCAGAACATGAAGCCAAATGTCACACCAATGCAACAATGAATACATACTGTAAGATGTTATTATCCAAACTGTGCCAAAATAAGAGAGGTTGGAATGAACAAAACTGAAATGATGAAAATTGGGTGCATAAAAATGTATCCAAATTAAAATATAATACAATCAATACGAATGCATGCAAAAACAGATATTAGATTTGATTAAATCAACAGTTCTTTGATTTGATAAAGTAGAAACCACATTTTATCATTCATCACCAATGTGTTTTTTATTTAAGGATGGAAACAAATATTCCTCTATTAAGATGAGATTTGGTGTGAGTATTGAGAGAAGTGTTAAATTTAGGACCAGGGTTAGGGTTAGGAATAGGACCTGGGTTAAAATCACGACCAGAGTTAGGGTCAGGGTTAGGAAAAAGGCTACATTTAGGACCAAATTTAAGGTTGGTATTAGGTTTTGGATTGATTTTGAAATGAGATTTGGGTTTAGTATTGGGACAATGGTTCAATTTAGGACCAGAGTTTAAAAATTGAAAAGATGAAAATGCATATAAATTGGTATTTTATCAGAAAATCTTCAAACAAAACCACCTTGGTGATAAATGATAAAAAAATGTGGTTTAAAATCTATCAAAATCAACAAGCAGAGTTGAATTTGATAGATTTTGTTGTTTTTATCAAGAAATCAAATAACAATTTTTAGCTCAAAATGTGCATTTTACTTGAATTTCACAATTTTTTTTTTACCTAATTTTTCATCACTTAATCTTTGTTAATTCCAACCCTTATACTAAATGTTACTGTCTGGTTTATATTTGAATAAAAACAAAAAGACGACTCACCTGTCAATACCTCTTTCAGTACGGTGCCGCAAAGCTGGTCGTTCTGCTGCTTGTGATGATGGGTACACTTCTTCCTTCGGTAAGATTCAGTAACATTCAGTTCCTTTGTTTTCTCCAGTTTTGCAGAATTAACGTGTGAGCTGACCACAAACCACACATCCCTCTGTGCCACATACTGTCAACTGTTGTGTTGGGCAACTGGCCTCTGCGTGTACACATCTGGGAAGTGGTCGAATAGATACACGGCATAGCAGATGAACAAGTGCTCCAGAAACAGCACAATCACAGAGTTCTTTAAGCAGAATTTCACAGATTTTTAAGTATCACTACATAATTCAATCTATAAGATGATATAAACATAATCATTTTGTGTGGTTTGATAGGAAATGGTTCATTGTAGACAAACAGGTTCGTATTTACTTATAGGAACTCGCAGCTGTGATGTCTACAAATACAGTCATTAAAAGCATCAGTATCTTATCAATTTTATACCTAATGCTAACACGAATTCATTGTTTTTGTGATGTCACAGCAGTAAACAGCAGCCTTGCCTTGCCCATTCATGCTGAAGTTATAAGCGATGGTTTAGACAGCCAGAACAGACCCAGACGGCAAGCATGTTCGGGCCGGACTACCTTGGCTGTCACAAAGTCCTCCTAGCAGTCGCATTTGCATTGCAGACTTGTGCCACATTTGGGCCAAGTAACTGTTAACAGCACTAGACACACTGCCGGTCAGCGGGCTCAGAGCGCATTGGGGCCGGATCTTTAAAACAGACGCGCCTCATTTAAAAACTGTGCCTCATTTAAAATTTGCCCCTTCCCTTTTTCCCCCTCAGTCCTCTGCAGTCGTCAGTTGACTTTGAGTGTAAAACTCGCTGCTGCTTTTGAGGTAAGGTGTATTTTGTATTTTAAATATTTGCACATTTATTAGAATTACGATCAGGTATCTTGGATTTACCATGGTAAAAAAAAATTTCGGCGCTAATAACATTTGATCGGACTACGGTAGTCAGCGAAGACTTACATATTCATGACAGTACGACCACAGAGAGTGATGCACACCTGTGCTTTTGCAGTTTGGGGGACATTTAACGTACCGCTATTTTGTGTTAATACCATAGAACTGAGACAAGTTTTTCAGTCAGAAGAAAAATCATGCACTTCTAGACCACGCCTACATCCATGCACACACCTCTGTTTTCCTCCAAAGCGTTTCAGTGCATTTAAATACATATTTTAATTGTTCATGCTAACAATAGACACCGCCAGACAGTAGAACATCAATAGCTCCATAAACACTGTGTCCATGCACATCTGATTAATTGTGTTATTTGCTCTAAATTATGGTTAGAAATACACACCACTTTAATTTAGAGAAAGGACTTTGAATTAACCTGTAACTAAAATGTACTTGCCAATAATTGTCCTAATAGTATTGAGCATACCTTACCTGTAAAAACTGATATTACCTATATACTGATATAGCTAGTTAGCTTGATGACGGAGGTTCAGTAATCGACAGACATTAGCAGTCTTGAAGGTTCAATAGATCCTTAACCATCTAAAATATTAGTTTAAAAAATGAGAGTGTAGAAAAGAAAACGTCTTATTTAAGTGGATCAAACTGCAAATCAAAAGGGTTTTTTTAAATCCGTCAAAAACTCAGTGAATCAGACTTAAGTTATTTTTTCCATTTTCAATTTTGACATTTTTGACACTGAACGTTTAAAATACTGCTTAGATTCAAAATGCAGCATTCACTGCAATTAATACAGCTGAAATGCTTTTCAATGTTAAAATACAAAAATTAATATCAAGTAATTACAGCCAGAACAGAGCTTGTCTACATACACTATATACAACAAAAGGATTGGAACACCTACACATTACACTTACAGGAGCTTTTATGAGATTCCATTCTAAATCCATAGGCATTAATTTGCAGCTGTAATTGTCCAGCTGATGTTGGACGAGAAGGCCTGGCTCGCAGTCTCCGCTCTAATTCATCCCAAAGGTGTTCTATCGGGTTGAGGTCAGGACTCTGTGCAGGCCAGTCAAGTTCTTCCACACCAAACTCGCTCATCCATGTCTTTATGGACCTTGCTTTGTGCACTGGTGTGCAGTCATGTTGGAACAGGAAGGGGCCGTCCCCAAACTGTTCCCACAAAGTGGGGAGCATGAAATTGTGCAAAATCTCTTGGTCGGCTGAAGCATTAAGAGTTCCTTTCACTGGAATTAAGGGGCCGAGCCCAACTCCTGACAAGCAACCCCACACCATAATCCCCCCTCCACCAAACTTTACACTTGGCACAATGCAGTCAGACAAGTACCGTTCTACTGGTAACTGCCAAACCCTAGACTGATCCATTGGACTGCCAGATGGACAAGCGTGATTGGTCACTCCAGAGAACACGTGTCCAATGCTCTAGACTCCAGTGGTGGCGCTGTACACCACTGCATTCGACGCTTTGCATTGCGCTTGGTGATGTAAGGCTTGAATGCAGCTGCTCGGCCATGGAAACCCATTCCACGAAGCTCTCTATTCACTGTTCTTGAGCTAATCTGAAGGCCACATGAAGTTTGGAGGTCTGTAGCGATTGACTCTGCAGAAAGTTGGCGACCTCTGCGCACTATGCGCCTCAGCATCTGCTGACCCCGCTCTGTCATTTTACGTGGTCTACCACTACGTGGCTGAGTTGCTGTCGCTCGCAATCGCTTCCGCTTTGTTATAATACCACTGACAGTTGACTGTGGAATATTTCGTAGCGAGGAAATTTCACGACTGGACTTGTTGCACAGGTGGCATCCTATCACGGTGCCATGCTGGAATTCACTGAGCTCCTGAGAGTGACCCATTCTTTCACAAATGTTTGTAGAAGCAGTCTCCATGCCTAGGTGCTCGGTTTTATACACCTGTGGCCATGGAAGTGTTTGGAACACCTGAATTCAATGATTTGGATGGGTGAGTGAACACCTTTGGTAATATAATGTATATTAAGTCTCCTTCATGTATCAACAGTACATCTTCAAGACATTTACCTCAATATATTCACATGCTTTACTACTGCTACTTCACTGATGTGTTAGTGATGCTCTGTTAAAAGTTTCTGAATCTTCTACAAAGGACCACTCAAAATAAAGTGTTACCGGTGAGGTAATGATCATGATCGAGTATAAAAGGAGCATCTACCAAAGGCTCAGATCTTTTCAAGTAAAAATGTTTCGTGGCTCAGGACTTTGTGCCAATCTTTGTGAGTGAATTGTCAAACAGTTCAAAAAGAACATTTCTCAATGCAAAATTGCATTGATCTTTCACCATCTACTCTACATAGTGTGAAATGATTTGGGGAATCTGAAGAATTCTCAGACTGTGTAAGGTAAGGCCAAAAACCACTGTTGAATATGTGTAATCTTTGAGCCCTCCGAGAGCACTGCATGAGAAACTGTCATACTATGGTGTTAAATATAGCCACATGGGCTCAAGAGTACTTCAGTAACCGTTTTCACTTAACACAGTCCATCAAGAAAGGTAAGTTGACACTCTATTACACATGGAGATTCTAGGCAGAAACGCTGCCAAATTCTTTGGGCTCAAGCTCATCTCAAATGGTCTGAAAGACAGTGGAAATGAGTCCACGTTTCAGCTTGTTTTTGGGAAAAACGGATGTCAGGACCCACAACATGGGTGATTTGGATATGTGGGAAGGTACCATTGTATATTCGGATTTTAGAGAGACATATGCTGCCATCAAAATGACATCTTTTAATGGGAATGATTATTTTAGCAAGACAAAAACAGGCCTCATTCTGCACATGCTACAACAACATGGCCTCATAGATACAATATGTTTGCTTGACTGGCCTACCTGCAGTCCAGAGCTATTGAAAAAATCTGTCAGAAAAGTGATGTAATACAGTGGTAAGTATGCATCTGTCCCAGTTTTTTTTCTGAAAATGGGGTTTGAACATCAAATAGTATACTTGAAATATAGAGAATACTATAAGTATATATGTACTTTAAGGCAATTTACCTAAAATATACTTTTCTGTATTTTCAAAACAGTAACAAATTTGAATGATACTAATATGATTAGTATGCTTTAATGAAAATACACTACTATAAATTTTCTTAACATACTGTACTCAAACAAAAGTATCAGTATTAATAAATTTAAGTGTATTATTTTGAAATATATTTCAATGGTGTTTAAAGTATGCTTTACCACATTTTAATTGCAATAAAACTCAAACTATATTGCACTCAAATATGAGTATCTCTACAGCCAAGAGTATATATTTAAAGTATGTTTCAAGTATATTAGAATTCATGTCTGCTTAAGTCAACTTCATTGTAATATGGCTTGCTCCAGTTTAGAACAGAGCACTTAGACAAAAGCACTTGCAGGCACAGAACAAGAATCAACATTTCTTAAACATAATTTAAGTATATATAGGTTGTATTTGGTTATTCCATATGATATACTTAACTGTACACTTAATTGTGTTTTATAAAAGTACACTTAAATACAAGTTTTATTTGTGGAATGCATTTAAGTATATTTAGTAAAATCTAATTGAAAATACATTGCATTTTAGTTTCAGTACAAATCAAAATGTAGCTCTGATGTGTATTAGTACATCCAGTTATAGATTTACGATATACTCCATATGTAATGACAGTTATATCTACAAATTAGATGCATAAATACCTTAAAATAAAAAGCACACAAATAAGTGCTTAGTTTGTTCAAAAAAATACTTAATAAGCACTTATAATAGCTTAATTGCAATTTAAATACACATTATTTAGTATGTATTAAAGTCGGTTGAAAGTGTAAATGTTCCTCAAATGCTTTAATAAATATGTATTTTTCATATTAAATACACTTTTGAAGAGTATACTTACATGCTTTATACTTTCACAGCAGGTCTAACTTCACTGTTTGTCTGCTGCCACTTAAACTGTTTGAACACATCTGTGCTGCAAAGAGTAAAACAGAAAAAAATGCCATTATTATGCAGTGTTTTGTTTTTAGTCAGCAGGTCCAGAACTTGTGCAAGAAGAAAAACAATGATTGTTTAAGTGCTCTGACTGTTTCACCCCACACAAGATAAGTGCTCCAAGCACTCAGTATGGTTTTGTTTTTCTTCTTTTTTCATAACACTTTTTTTCTCTTTTGTTTTCCAAAAGTATTGGCGCCTGTATTCCCCCTTATTATAGCACCATTATGTAAGGCTTTTTTATAACCAAAAGAAGTAGCATTACTGAGTCAGAAAGGAACAGGCTAAAATATGGTGCACATGCACTGCTGCAAGTCACTCTACAAAAACTGAAATAATAATTTACAAGTAAAATTTGTCAGGTAAGGAGTTTTTTGGACCATATCATACATTTTTACCTATTTATGTTAATCATAGGCTCAAAAAGAAGGCCCAGCTCAATGTTTACATCAGCAAATGTAAAATGAACGTTATACTGAGCAACATCTGATGACAATAATAGATCATTCACTGAAATCCTTGGAAGACATGTCCTTCTCCCAACGTTCGACTGTTCACTTTGAATACTTTTCCTACTCACAACCATGAAATTTATCCAGTCTTGGAGATCTGAGGCACAAACGACCATTTAAAATGTTCTTCTGCTTGTTGTGTGCCATCAGAACAGTCTCCATTCCCCAAAACCGTACACAGTGCAGCTTTAATATTTGGTGAAGCACCCATGGCACTGCGTTTTTATAATGCTTAGACCACTACTGCATGCAGAATATTTCCAGTTCCTTTGATATTCTCTTTAATACACACCACAGGTTTTCACTTGGGTTTAAATGTGGAGACGGAGAGGGCCATTGCAACTTTGATCTTGTTGTTCTTCAACAATTTCTGTGTGGATTTTTAGATCTTAACCTGAGTTTAAACCTGAATGAGTCACGTGGGCTTTTAGACTCCATTGCTGTGTCCTTGAAAGCTGATTAAAGCGCACCTGCAGTTTAAACTTAACCCAATTGCTGTGTCATTTAAAAATCACACAGCTGCCACTAGCTGGTGCTGTATCCCAAGTTAAACTGAGGTTTATATCAAACCTGCACATGCTTTTACTGAGGTTTAAAGCAAGATTTATGTAATTAAAACATCTCCAGCTCAAATATTTTAATATTTAAAATCTCTGTAAAACAATTTAATAAAATAAGGGTTCCTTGCATAGTGAAATGGTTCTTCAGATTGAATGTATTGTACAAGGTTCTATACAGACCACTTTTTGAAAATGATTCAATGGTGATGATGTCACACTTGAAAAACCTTCCAAAAAACCTTTAAAACCATTCTCAAAAAAGTTTTGTATGGAACTCTAGCAGTTTTTTCTTTTCATCAAGACATTTCAGTACCAACTATGTACACAGCCAGGGCCTGCCTAAAACAATACAAGAAAACAAAACAAACAAACAAACAAACAAACAAACAAAAAAACTCACATCGGACTTGGTCTAATTTAAATGAGTAGAGTAAGTAAAGGATAAAATGATCCATCCATCCATCTTCTAAGCCGCTTATCCTTCTGGGTCGCAGAGGGTGCTGGAGCCTATCCCATTGTTCATCGGGCGAAAGGCAGGAGACACCCTGGACAGGTCGCCAGTCCATTGCAGATAAAATGATCCATGCTATTCTAATATAGCAAACAACGTACAGACATTCGAGCACCTATTCTAAAGCATCCCACAAGCATCCAAACATATGCCACATTCCTTTATTTTAAATGACACCATGATCTTATCAAACTTGATCAAAAGTTTAAAGCTGAAAGTCTTTCAAAAATATTTGTCCAGTTTAGAACCACAGCAGTCTTGATTACACTTTTTCAGAATGCATTACTCAGAGAAGCTAGCAGTGGGCTGGTTCACAGTCCAATGGTGAGACAAGAAAAGCAGCTCTTAAAGACACAGAAAGCTCTTTCAATACTGCAGTGTGCTTGTGGCTTCTGTTAAAGCATAGCTCTGAGAGTAAAATGGGCCTTTTGGAGAGGCAGCAGAAGGTCGTCTTGCTCCACTGTAAACCGTTTCCTCGGGTCGAGTCGTTTCATCCACTCAGTGTTGTTCAGTTTCCTGTCAGCTAATCGTTTAAAAAACATCATGGAGACATCTTTGAGTGAGTAGCATCATGGTTTTAGTTGATGTGTTTTAAAATGAAGAGTACTGTAGAAATAAAAGTCAGTGAGGCCTAGTGACGTGACCAGATTTGGTGTTATTTACATTACTGTTTAAGCTTAGGCTTGAAATAAAATAGACTGGTTAGGCTGTTACTGTGTGCTGTAAGTTGCAATGTATGCAAAACTATGTGGACAATTGACCATCACACCTACGTGAGCTTACTGGACATCCCCTTCCAAAGCATGGGCAACCTGTAAGCAATACATGTGACTAAAACACTTGAACTCGATGATTAGGAGGGGTGTCCACATACTTTTGGCCACGTAGTGTATGTTAACATCATCCAATGCTGTTGACTATGGGCTCAAGCTTATCTAAAATTGACTAATGTACAGTGTAAAATATATATTGTGGTCTGATGAGTCAATTTTTCAGGTCTGGAAAAAGACTATTCCAATTGTTACTAGCATAAGGTTTAAAAGCCAGGGTCTGTCATGGTATAGAGGGTATTAGTGGGTTACTTGCAGGCAACATTAATGCTCAACACATTTGTAGCAACATATTTTGCCTTCGAGACGATGTCAAGATGTGAAATGTATTTTTGTATCATTTTCAACTGAATACAGATCAAACAGAATTTCCTAATCGCTGCTGGTTTTATTAGCATTTTACATACAATCCCATCTTTTTTTAGAATTTTTGGAACTCTGGGGTGTGAGGGCAATTTCTTCATTTTTGTCTACATTCTTAAAATCGCCTTCAAAGGCACTTGCATACGACACGATACCCAACATCTTAGGTTTACAATAGTAGTGGAATGCATAAATAAAACAGTCGACAGATGTTATCCTCATCACTCTACTTTCCAAAACTGCTGCAGCAACTTCAGCAGCTGCAAACGTTTTAAACACCACTCGCGTCCATATCCGAGGCAACTCTGCGAAAAAAGTGTTTCAAAGTGAGGTAAGTCTGGTGTGATTTCCTGAGTGTCCATTGGACAGTTTCACACAAAATCTAGACAGACACACAAATCTACCAAGTACAGGCGAGAGGCAGATGACGGACACACAAATCCATTGGTTACGCACAGTGAGAGGCAGATGGCATGTGTCTCAACTTGTCTTCATTGGCTCATATGTCCAGATGTGAATCACATACGTTCTGCAGTGTGGTGAAATCAAAAAGGCAACTCTACAGATTCAGGAACTGTGTGAACCTTATTTCTGCACAGTATTGTTGCAAAGATATTAATAGAAACACCAAGAGCCATCTAATTTGACACGCCAGCCCATTTGTCGACCCCAGAGGGTTAAAGCTGGCTGAGACGTGGCCCTCTAATAACAGTAAACATGCTGGGTTGTTCTGACACCTGCATCTGGCTCTGTCCTGTGCCATCATTTCATACAGTATGTGGGTTGCAAGCAAATGCCAAGTCTGGGCCATATCAAATTTGCTATCTGGGTTCAATCTCACCACTCTCAAAGGCCTGTCCTGTGATATCTGGACATTAATTTCACATCATGTCTATATCATGCAACTGGTGTGTAAACACCTCCCAGTGTTTCTGTCATGTTTTACATTTTTAATTCAAGAAGAAATGCAGCATGTTTAATTTTGTTTATTACAATTCAGGAAAAAAAGAATGAATTACACATTCACACAACAGTATCATTACACAAAGAACATAGGACATGTCATAGGTTGTTATGAATGTCCTGTGCCATTCCCATTTCAGTGTTGTTTTTGAACAGTTATCTTTCCCCATTGAATGGGTTGTTTACAATATGGCATTGGCAATTTCCCTTCAAGATGTGTGGCAATGCTTAGCTTCTGCTTTCTATAATTCTCAGAAGCATTATAGCTGCCGTAAACACTTTTCTGATTGACACACAGTCCTATATTTTCAGTTAAAAACACAATCTGTTGATAATTTTTTTACTAGATTCTTGAGAGTCTTCACAAAAATCTACTGACATATATTTAACACTGAACTGCCTGTGGAAACAGCTCTGAGTGTGCTTTCTGTACCTCTTTAAGTGGTCACTCATGGCCAAAACTACTAAACTAATTCCTCACTCTTCATTCTCCCACAAAACATTTTGGTAGCAATGCATAAATCACAAAAAAAAACTGAATGCATTAAACTTGTTTCCACAATTCAGTGACATGTAGCTACACACTGAGATATACAGATGCTAATTCAGCCACTGCAGTCCTGTCTTCCTCCGTAGAATCTTTCTTCAACATAAAGGGTTTGATTGCCCTTTAATTTTAACCACTCTCATAGTTTTGGTTTGATAAGGTCGGCATTCCCTGACTTTATGTCACTGCTGGCCCACCCACGGATTGTGTACAAGACCCAACTAGTTTTTAATCTCCTTGGACTGTTTAATAAAAAAAATAAAAAAAGTAAGAAAAACATTTTAAAAAATTAGAAAAAAAAAATCAAAATCAAAATGCCAAGTTTCAAGACCAAACTCTTGGCCAAAACATACACATTATCTTCTCAGACCTTCTTATCAGTTGATTCTTTGTGGTTTACGGTGCCTAGAGTTTCCTTGTTAGGCCGTACACTTGGGTCTTGAAACTTGGAGACCTCTTTGCTGCTCCACCGTGGTGCAATGATGTCCCCTGATGTCTATTGCATGTCGGAGCTAGACTGAAATCTGAGAGCTCATGAACTTGCCACGCTTCATCACCTCACTTGTAACACATCCTTGCTTCCAGAGGCAATTTGGAACTCGTCAGTGAGTGATTCAACAGAGGATAGGCACTGTGCACTTCAGCACTTGGCGGCCCCGACCTCTTCGTGGCTAAGCTGCTGTTGCTCCTAGATGCTTCCATTTCACAGTAACAGCACTTACAGTTGACAGGAGCAGATCTAGCCAGACACAAATTTCACAAACTGACTTGTGGCAGAGGTGGTGTCCTATGACAGTGCCAAGACACTGAGCTCATCAGTATGACCCTGTTCTACTGCCAGTGTTTGTCTATTGAGACTGAGTTTATCATTTGGTAAGTGTAACACAAGAAAATTGTTGGATTTAAACATTTCAATGACACATGTTTAACGATTCCTTTTGAGGCACTTTTGCTGGAACAATAGAAGAAAATACATCATTTTTGATATTAATTTCAGATGTAAGATTTTTACTGGACACTTTCAATAGTAGTTGAAGGTTTACTTTCCCCAGAGTTGGTAGCTGGTAGCCCTTGTGCAGTGTACAGGCCCTCCTCTTCCTCAACTGCATTCTCAATCTTCAACAGAAGTGAGTAGCATTGCTTTTTAACATCTTTCCCCATGAATGCATAAAGAAACGGGTTCAGACAGCTGCTGACATTGGCGAGAGTGAGGACAACTGTTGATGCTGAATTGAAGAATTGTTCATGTGTTTTGTTGGTTAGTTCCATAAAAGCAAAAATGTGATATGGCAGCCAGCAGATAAAGAAAGTAGTAATTAGCAGAGTCATGATCCTGAATGGCTTTTTGGACCTCGTCATCTGGCTAGACTTCAGCTTTCGAATGATGAAAACATAACAGATGACAATGATGAGGAACGGCACCAAAAATCCAACAACGAAGTCACATGTCACGTCAGCAGTGTGCTGTAAATCGTTTTGGTAAACGTAGAAAAACAATTTTGTCTTCTGGTCATCATGCTGAACATCTAGGGAAATTGCTGATGACAAGCAATATGCAGCTGAGATGATCCAAGCTAGCATTACTGTCACACAGGCCTTTCTTATGGTGCGATGGTTGTGCGCCCACACTGGAAATATAACAACCACACAGCGGTCCACACTGATGATGACAAAGAGGAAGATGCTGTTAAACCAATTAAAGAACATGTTGAACACAACAAAGTTGCTCATGAAGTGCCCGAAGACCCAATTGTTTTTGATAACGTAGACAACACTGAAGGGCAGGAAGAAGCAGAACAGGAAGTCAGACATGGCCAGACTCAGGTACCAGGTGGTGACGACCGACTTCTTCACTTTAAACCCTGCAATCCAGATCACCAAACCATTTCCAGCAACACCCAGGATGAAGATGATCACATTCACTACTGTGTAGAAAATATAAATTCTGTCCCTGCAGGGTGGGCCTGTCTCATTTGTTGAATTCATGATGCCTTTTGATTCTGTAAAGCAAGCAAACACAAAAACTGTAGATCTGCTCACAACAAACAAAGAAGTATGAGATGTTCGTTAGGCAAAAAGGGTGAAAAGTCAAAGTAAAAGTCAAAATTTAAACCATAACTTTTTTTTTATTATGTCCAAGTTATTAAATGGCTTAGGAGCATCCCTACACCTTTACACTCATTAATAATGCAAAGATTTATTAACATGCATGACTATGCAAAGCGTAAACACCCCATTACCTCCCAATTTCCAAACACTGCCCCTTCATTTCACTACTTTGCTTTTATCTTTTTAACATTTTAGCCTCCTATGCATGCACAGACTAAGCAGATAAGATGGAGTAGGACAGAAGCTGAAATAAATTCCCACTGTAAAGTTAACAATAAACTAGCAAGAGAATTCATCACCCTGTAACTGTTAAGTGGACCTGGTCAGCAGCAATAGACGTTAATATGCTGGTCACCAGAAAACCAGCATATGTTGTGTTTTGGATGCTGGTATGTTGGTCAACTAGTATGACCATGCTGGGTAACCAGCTAAACCAGTGCCAGGCCAGCACCCAACCAGCATAAACCAGATTAGACCAACATGGAATACATGAATAATTGTTTTGTCTGGTTTAAGTGTAGAGCTTGACATGGTATCAGAGGAAATGGTGAGGACAAGTTGACAAGGGCATGTAAAAAACAGTATTGAAATGAAAGGTATATGTTATCTTTGAGGATGTGCTCAAAGACTCCACTGCTTACATGAATGCCAACTTTTTTGTTTTGCAATGTTGTTAATATAATGAAGTATAAATAAGATTAAGACAAAAACATTTAAATTCTATCAGTATAGTGGAGCTCCCCACACAACAGCACACGCTCACACTTTCAGTTTTGAGACTTCATCCTCTAAATTTCTAGTTTGCGGGAATCAAACCTGTGCTGTGGTTTAAGAATCTGTTATTCTGCTAAGCTATCGCTATCTGCTACATTGGTTGCTAGCTTAGCCAACTGCTAATAGTTCTAAATTACACACTGTGAATAAATGTGAAATGTAAATTTGACAATGTTACAATTCTAAATACTACCATCTAGTTTAACTAATTGCTACGTTGTCCTCCTTTTGGCATATTTTAATATATCTGACCATGATAGATTCAAGCTGATTTGTGATGCACTAAACTAAGCTGATACGTAGCAGCTCAAAGAATCACTTTCTGTGGAAGTATTGACAAAGTCTGTGTTTTTGATTGAAAAATGGGACTTTGTGCTGTGATAATGTGCTTGGGACAAATAGCAAACTATGTAATTTCATTTTAAAATTTCTTTAAAAAATCTCCTGGTACTTCATGGAGTCCAGAATTCTAAAGTATCACCACAGGGTTCCAAGGTCCTTGGAGGAGAAATAGTCCATAAACATCCAGTGGGCAAGAGGTTTTGTACAAAATAACCGTTCTTCACTTAATGCCAAACAAACCTTTAGTCTTTGTTAACAAAAAGCTTGATTTTTTGTCTCGTCTGTCCATAGAACCTTGTTCCAATCAAAGTTCCAGTAAGCTCTTTGTACTTATGTTTGTGATTAGATGAAAAGGCTTTCTTCTGACGCAGCTTCCAAATAATTCTTTACTACAAAGGTGACATCTAATTTAATTTTGGAGAGTTAGTGACCATAGAATGCTACCGTCTGCAAATTTCCAACTGTGATCTTTGTAGAAATATTGACCTATTTAACCATCCTCCTCACTGTGCATGGGGGAGCATCCTCATCCAGGCAGATTTACTACAGCTCTGGTTGTTTTAACTCCTTGATTACGCCTCAACAGTATATATATGGGCAATTTCAGATGCATAGTTATTTTTTATAGCCATTGCCTGATTTACAGAGGTCAGCCCACTTTTGTCTCATTTCATATGTGTATTCTCTAATCTACCCGCATGTTGACTAAGGTCTAAGGAAATTTGTATGGTGTACAGTTTAGGACATGCTCAGACCTCAGCATCAGTTTTCCGACGTTGTAAAAAATGGCATCATTCCTTAAGTCAAATGGTTCTGCGTCTCATTAAAAAAACACTGCAATGTCACAGATATCACATCCAATTTATTGGAATCAATTCCATTCTTTCTTACTGTATTAATTTCTGCAGTTTTAGTTATGGTGGAATGTGGTGTTAGCTTTATGCCAGATGTAATGAGACCCAAGTCTTCCAAGAAATTCCACCTTTGACTCATCAGTCCACAGAATATTTTTTTATTTTTTGGCAAACACGAGACAAGCCTTTGTGTTCTTTTTGGTCAGCAGTGGTTTGCTCCTTGCAACTCTCCCATGGGATGCCATTTATGCCCAGTTTATGCCCATGTACTTATTGCAGAATCATGTGCATTGACCTTAACTGAGGCAAGTGAGGCCTGCAGTTCTTTACATATTTGTCTTGGTTCTTGTGTGACCTCCTGACTGAGTTGCTGATGCACACTTGGTGATGTTTTGGTGGGCCAGCCACTCCCGGGAGGGGTCACCACTGTTCCAACCTTTCTTAGTTTGTGGCTAATGGCTCTCACTGTGGTTCGTTGGAGTCACAGAGCCTTAGCAACGGCTTTGTAGCCCTTTCCAGACAGGCAAACTTAAATGAATTCTATGTGCATCTGTATTTGAATCACTTTAGAATGTGGCATCATGCGCTGATTTGTCACCTTCTGTCCTGCTTCACATCGCCAGACAGGTTCTATTTAAGTGATGTTTAGAATCAGTAGTTGTCATGCCAGGGTGTGGCAGGAGATCGACCTACCTGGAGAGTCTAGATCCAACTACAATTTGCTGCACCTGCTTCAGCTAATTAAGCTCTTCAGAAGCCCTTGATTGGCTGGGTCATATGCATTAGTGTTAGGTGACAGGGTGCAGCATGTTCGATGCTGGTTGGAAGTAAACTCTGCAGGAAAGTAGAAGTCTCCAGGAAAAAGGTTGGGGACAATGATATGGTAAAAAAAGAATGGAATTCCAAATGTAACAACATCTGGGACAAGGTTGCTGGATGCCGTTAAGCCTATTTTGTGCAAAGCTGTTTTGTCTGATGCCATTTTGTCCAAGGCTGTGATGTCTGTGTCTGTTCTAATGTCCAATTTTGTAAAAGCTGAGGCATGACAGTGTTTTTTCCCAAGACATGAAGCTGTTTTCTTTGAGGAATGCCACTGACAATGAGAATGTCCTAAAAAGTTCACTGTAAAATTGGCCTCTTTTACTTCATATTTATATCTTAGTAAAACAGAAGCAGAGTGATTACTGGTTAAAGGGGAGGTTTTGGAAACTTCTGCATAGTTACACCATTCAGTCACTCTGAGCGGTTTGATGTGAAATGCTCTGTGCTAGAGAAAATTAGTCAGAATTCGCAGTAGTGGAGAAGTCTGAAGAGTTGAATGTCTTTAAAAGCACATGACATGGTTATGAATACACTGCCTGATGTCTAAAACATTGTATGAAATACATTCCTGGCACAGGAGTACATACAGGCTGTTGTAAGACAAAATAGTCCCCAAAGAAAACATATTTTTTTCCCACTATTTTACCAGCATCAACATTAAATATAAAAACATGTTTAGGTTCGCTGGTGGTTTTGGATAGTAAGTAAAATAGCTATATCTGCATTGTAGACATTGCAGCCCCTGGTTTCTTACACCACCACTGTAAAGTTAGTTTGGATGTAATTTCACTATTTCACATCAAACCACTTTGTTTGTACCTCGACTGAACTATGCAGAAGTTTCAAAAAAATCAGGGGAATTACCTTCAAGAGCTCCTAAAAACTCACATACATATTGTGTGTTTACATATTGTAACTTTGTTTACATCTTGATTTGGTTAATTTGATCAATTTGATACAGAAATTTGCAAAAAAAAAGTCATTTGCCCTTTTGGATCAACGCAAAATGTTAAAGCAGCCCAGAAACTTTTTTGAAACTTTAACTTTTTACTTGTACTTTTAAATTTTAAATTTTACTTTTAAAGTTCAAACACATATTCACAATTAACACGATGTGTTAACATTTTCACAAATCTGCAAAACACACAGATGCTGTCTGGTTTATGTTTAATAGAAAATGACTTACCTCTCAACAGCTGCTTTAATGTGTTGCTGCAGAGCCTGTGGTTTTGTTGCTTAAAATGATGGACAGGCTTTTTGTATCAGTCAGATCTTGCAACATTCAGTTCCTCTGTGATGTATTTAGTTCCTAGAATAAAAGTTCAAGTTGTAAACCACAACTGAAAGTATGTAGCAGAAGAGAAGCACTATAGTGAACTTTATTTTTGAACTACTGTGAAAACATTTGGGTTTGAGGTGAAAATCGGTATTTGATCTTTTATCTCCTGATATTTAAATCTAGGTCATGGCAAAAAACACGGTGTTTTGTGTCATTGGCAAGTTCCTCCTATTTTGGACTCATTCTCTGCAATTTGGCAGATACAATGTTCCTGTAGACTTCTGAATTTATTCTGCTACTATTATGAGTTACATCATGTATAAAGATTATAAGCCCAATGCCAGAAGCAGCTATGCAATCCCAGGCCATGACACTACCTGTCCTGACCTGTGCTGTGCTTGACAAATGAGCTTGCATGTTTGAAATTTATGAGAAGATACATTCTTTCTCCACACTTTGGCCTTTCTTTTACTTTGGTAGAGGTTAAGCTTGGTCTCATCAGCCCATAAAACTCTTCCACCACACCTGTTCCACAACTTTTGTGGCTCATCTCTGCATTTCTTTGCAAATTGCAATGTGTCAGTGGCCAGTTACTGGTCACTATCCAGGATTGGCAGACAGGGTGGAACTATTAAACTTTAATCTGAAATCATAGCACCTTGAATACCAATCTGAGGAAGTGGATCTCAGTAAAGAGGCTGTGGGTTCAACTTGATGAACATACACAAAAACGTAGCCAGCATAGGAAATCACGATGAGTGTGAGACCTTTTTTTTAGTAAATGATTGCTTATTTATTTATATAAAGTATTACATTATATAATGTATTGCATTATTTCCATTTCTTTGTTGAGTTTAACACATTGAAAAAAAACATAAAACATTGAGTGTGCTGTAACTTTTAAACAGCCCCTCCCAGAATATGTTAAATTCAGCAAATAATAAGTAATTGTGTATCAAAATGTGCAGAAGATTGTTCTTTGTAGAGTATGTGTTAGTTTATTTTAACTGGGAAAAAAAAATGAACAAAACACTTCATTTGACCAGGGGTGCACAAACTTTTGCACTCGGCACACATCCCACGTTTGTTTCTTTTATCCGCTTGTGTCTGACTCGTTCTGTCACATTACAGAATACCTTGCCATCAGTGCAGATGGTGGATCCTCAGGCTTTTCAGAAGCCTATTGTTAGGGCGACATCAGCAAGTATTAGCAGGGGTTACACAATCATTCAAGTCTCTTGCTCAAGAGCAGACAGAGCAGCAGGTTCAGTTGGTACAGCTTGTGGCTGGCGTTGAAGGTCGCACTTCCCAGCTGCAAAATCTGAGTACAGCTGACAAAGCAGAAAGCCCCGCCAACCTTCCCATTCTTGTGGAAGCTTCCAGTTCGCTCTTCACCATGAGTAAACCAGATAAATGTGATAGGAACCTGGATAAGTGTTGTGTTTTTTTTTTTACTCCAGTGCTTAATCTTTAGTGCTCTGTTTATAATAATTCCCCCACAAGTTCCGACCAGACTAAGTTTGCATTTTGGTTTCACGCTTATTCGATAGAGCATTAGAATGGACTAATGCAAGCTGGCCTCTGCAGTACACACTTTATCATATGACCAGTTTTTGAAAGAATTCCACACTGTGTTTGATCGCCCTCATGAGGACAAGATAAGTGGTGAACTGTTGATGGAACTACACCAGGGTAATTGCTCAGTTTTGGATAATGCGCTAGAATTTCCCACTTTAGCGCTAAGTAGTCAAGTACTTAATTCTAACAGAACTAGCTTGCAAAGATGACAACCTAACCTCATTCATGACTGTGGAAAACGAAGAGCCAACAGCCTCAAGCAGATATTCTCATGTTCAAGAGCACCATGTGACTCCAGCGGTACTGACTATAAGGAACTTATGCTATGTGATTCATCACATCTGTCAAAGAAGGAGAGGCTCCATCAGCAGAGAGAAGGTCTGTGCATATACTGTGGCAGTGCTGGACATATTCTGTGTGACTGTTGGGTCAACCCCCACAAACGTCCGGTGTCGACCCTGGAAAGCACATGAGGTATACTCCACATGCTAATGTGGTGAGGGTTCCCATGAAGGGGTTGGTCTCTAAGTCTTTTTTTCTACCTGTAATTGTGTACTGTCGTCAGGTTTCTTCTGTTGCTTCAGTCTCGATTGACTCCGGTGCAGAGGGAAATTTCATCCATGCAAAACTCATTGAAGAACTGCAGATCCCAGTAGAAACTATGAGGACCCCTTTGTGAGCAGCATACACGAGGGTCCTGTTGGAGCTGGAACTATGAGTATTATCATGGTTGGAATTTTGCCACCAGAATTGTATTGCACTGCCAACGTTAGCAGTCAGGTTCACTTCAATAGAAAGTCCTTATGTATGCAGACCTCAAAGAAGTTTTCAGCAAAGGGAATACCACCAAACTACCTGCTCACCACCCCTATGACTGGGCAATAGATCTTATTGACAACTCGGCCCTTCTTCTGGGCAGTCGTGGGCTGGAGGTTAGGGAACCTGCCTTGTGACCGGAAGGTCGCTGGTTCGATCCCCTCAGCTGACAGTACGTGACTGAAATGCCCTTGAGCAAGGCACCTAACCCCCAACTGCTCCCTGGGCACCGTGGATAGGGCTGCCCACCGCTCCGGGCAAGTGTGCTCACTGCCCCCTAGTGTGTGTGTGTGTGTTCACTAGTGTGTATGTGGTGTTTCACTGCGCGGATGGGTTATATGCGGAGGGTCTAATTCCGATGTGTTCAGACACAGTTGGCTAAAAGGTTCATTTCATTTCATTTCATTTCATTTCCTATACCCAGAATTTATCCTTTAACTCAGGAGAAGGACACATACATTCAAGAGACCTTAGATCAAGGTTTCATTAGACCCGTCTACTTTTCCCGTAGCTTCTGGTTTCTTCTACATTAAGAAAAAAGGAGGTTTGTGTCCTTGCATAGATTACAGATTACAAAGAAGGACCCTTATCCACTCCCCCCTCATCCGCATCGCATTTGAACTGTTACATGAAACTAAGTTCTTCACCAGATTAGACGTAAGAAGTGCATACAACCTAGTTTGGATAAGACAGGGAGATGAATGGCAGACAGCTTTTTTGCGATCACTATGAGTACTTAGTAATGCCATTCAGCCCTCGAATGCTCCATCAGTCATCCAAGCATTCATTAATGATGTTCTGAGAGACATGATTGGCAAATTCATCATAGCCTACCTAGATGATATTTTCATCTTCTCCCCAGACCTTGACACTCCTGTGGAACAAGTTGAATCTGTCTAAAAGCATCAGCTTGAAAACAATTTGTTTGTTAAAAGTGAAAAATGAGTCCCACCTTCAGTCAGTCACTTTTTTAGGATACCTTATCAGTTCCAGTGGGGTGATAATGGATGATCAAGTCGATGCAGTTGTACTGGCCCAGGCCTACCTCAGTCAAGGAACTACAAAGGTTCCTGGGATTTGCTAATTTCTACAGACGTTTCATTAAGAACTTTAGTTGTTTATCTGTGCCCCTTACTGTGTTTTTGAAAGGCAGTCCAAAAAACTGAATTGGCCAGCACAGGCAGAGCACTATTTTAACTCCATTAAAAGTTAAATAACATCATATGTATTTACAATGGCTCCTGTTCTTAAGCATGCTGATTCTGCAGAACCATTAATAGTTGAAGTAGATGCTTCAGAGATTGTTATCAGCACTGTTTTTTCACAGCATTCTGGCAACCCACCTAAGCTACATCCTGTAGCCTTTTGATCTCAAACCTCACACCCCCTGAATGAAACTATGGGGTGGGAGTCTGGGAAATGTTAGCAGTCAAGCTAGCATTAGAAGAGTGGAGACATTGGTTAGAAGGTGCTAACTGACTACAAGAACCTAGAAAACCTTTGTAATGCTAAACGTCTTAATTCTCGCCAAGCCCAATGGTCTCTGTTTTTCTCTTTTTCTGCCCTGGATCTCACAATACTAAAGCGGATGCACTGTCTAGAATTCATTAAGCTGACGTGGCAAAAGAGAATGAGGTGAAATCAGATAAAAGTCTTCCCCTATATGTTACCATCTCCTTTATTCAATATGAAATAGATGATGAAATAGAAAGGGCTCTAGAAATCACCATAGTCAATGTCATACTGGAAAGATTTATGTTCGAGATCAGTTCTGCGATTGCCTAGTTACTTGGGCCCATTCATCCCTCACAAAAGGTCACCCAGGGGACAGTCGTACTCAACAATCTCTAATCGATAGTGGTGGGACTCCATTAATAAAGATATCCATAATTTCGTAGATTCCTATTCTACCTGCTGTGTAAAATGCTTTTTTCTGCTGCAGAACCCTATGGACCACCCAAAACTCATTGAATAGTTTGGCTACCAGACTTCTGCCTTTTCACTGTGTATTAGGCTACCAACCTCCTGTTGTGCCATGGACTGGACTAGACTCACCAGAGCATAGAAACTGCTTTACAACACAACAAGAAACAAACAGATTGTCATCGCATAAAGACTCCTGCTAATTAATCAATTGGACCTCCAGAAGAGACTTCAGATTTGCTCAGGGAAGTCAGAAGTTTTAACCTAATTATATTGGCCTGTTTAAAGTACTCAAAAATATTAATGAGGTCACTTCTAAACTTGACTTGCCCCTCTGGGTGAACACGTGACTGTGACATCAGACCAGCCCACGTATCAGAGACCTGCCTCACTTGATTACTGACTTGTTGCACCTGTTTCTCTTGTTTTGTAATTACTTCAGTTAGTATTTAAGCTGGGACTTTAGGTTAGCTCAGTGCGAGGTATTGCTTCTCTTGTAGAGCTACTGAGCTTTCTTTCCTGTGTTTTGGTTGTTTGATTCTGTTTCTGACTCTTCTGTATTTTTGACCTTGCTTTTTGCCTGCTCCCTGTTTGGACTTTGGGTTTTTCTACCTGTGTATTTTGCTGCTTCTGGATCTGAC